ATTTGCATTTATAGAAACAACCTTCACCAATTGATGTCACACTAGTTGGTATCGATACACTGCTCAGACTACTGCATTCATAGAAACATCTTTTATAAATTGTTGTAATGCCAAATGGTATGTTATTTCCATATTTCTTTCTATTGTTTTCAGTGAATGTAACATTTTTAAACTGGATGTTTCGACCTTTGTTTTTGTCAACGGTTTCAAAATCAACACTGAACCACACAACGATATTATAAAACGCTTTTTTAAAAATTTTTGTTTTATTTGTGTTAATATCTTGATATATTTCATTTTCCTTGTGATCTTCATTTAATTCCATGTTGACAATAAAGCCGTTGTCAAAATTTTCATCTTCTTTTTGCCACAAATGAAGTGTCTCAATGTTTGAAAAGTATTCAAGTGTTTTGCAATTTAATGGAATTGGGTTGAAGTGAAACTTCTTCATATTATTTGAGAATTTCTTGCAGACAAACTCAAGATTAATAAAGTCTTTTATAGTTTTGAAATACTTTGAAATTATCATGCCATGATAACTTTCAATTGTAGACATTTTGAATTTTAGAGTTGTTTAATCATTGAAATAAACAACCAATCATAATTAGTGATTTTTTGATTTTTTATCAAATCAAAACATTGTAATGTCCCGATTTATTTGATTTTAAACAATTGTCTATAAAATCAAGTAAAATTCCACAAACTATGAACCAATGACAATCATTTGAATTAAGAAAAGTAATATTCACTAAAATACATATTTTATACAATTTAAAATACAAAATAAGACAAATTATTTCACCTTCAAATCAGTGCCATTTGTTTTCATATCTTGTTATTTTTATAACAAGTTGTTATTAAAGAATCGAAAAATAACGACAGACACAATTGTATTTAACAAACAGAATATAATAAAATACCATTATGTCAATTAAAACGCAACACACTGACTGTGTTTTCGATTCCTTTCAGACTTAAGTTTTTTTCTATTTTGGCTTAAAGTTCAACCAAATTTTATTATATTAATATCAATAAAGTATTATTTATATTATTTATATAAATAAAAAAATTAGTAAATAAGTAAAATTGAAAAATTCGAATAAAACTAAGATATGATGATATTGACAGAATTTGAAAAAACAAAAATCCATTGGAACCACATATTAAAAAGACTTTCTTGGCTGCTCAAAGGAAGTTCATTTCAGAATTGTTCAGTTTGCATGTTGCCGGTGGTGATGATTTCGGAGCTTCGACTGGTTAAGCCAAGAAATGCCAGAGAGGTGCCAAGTTCTTGACTGTGGAATCTAATTACAGAGAATAACTTGATGATCTTATGAAGAAATTGAGAATGACTACACTACATTATATTATATACGTTCTTTTAAATACACAGAAGAGAATACACTATTTCATTGACTCGACTGTCTTGAAGCAATTGAGATGCAATGGTGTCTTGGAAGGTATTAGAATTACTCGCTTTGGGTAATTCTAATTATTTTACGGATTAAATATAAACAGTTTATTCCGTTTATATCCAAACAGAATAAACTGCAACGAATTCTTGAAGAGATACTTCTTCCTTGGAACTAACATCAACAAGAAGACTTCAGACGCCATGCCAGTCGTCAAAGATCTCATGAAACAAATTTGTGAGAAGTATAAAAAGGATGGCAAGAGTGTACACTGAATAATTCAAGTTTGGTAAGACCAAGATTTTTTCCAAGGTTGGTGTTCTTGCTGAAATTGAAGAGATTAAGAAATCAGAGCCACTGAAATTGTTGGTGGTCTTCATATGTGTGCAAAAGCCTTTGAACAAAGAAAACTTATTGAACAGAAACTTGTTGAACAGAGTGCTATTATTGCCATAAAGACACCATTCACACTAAGTACCAATTCAGAAATTGGGTTTGGTTCAGATTATTCCAAAAGGTTAGACCTACATCATAGAGGATAAGAGTCGATGAGTGTTAATTTGCAGCTAAAGACAAAGAAATTGAAGCCTTTAAAGAAGAAACTTGCTGAAGAAATTGCAAAATGAGAAGTCGCTGAGAAGGCACTTTCTGAAATGAAAATCAAGAACGTCGACTTGGAAACTTTAGTCAAAAGCTTAAAGAAGACATTGAGTCAAAGAAGACACAACTTGAAGAGGCGGATATGAAGTCACACGAAGACCAAGAACACATTGAAGAACTCCAAGGTGATATTAAGAGAGTAAAGGAAGACTTGAACAAGTTAACCACTGAGTACAAGTAACTTGAAGCCGACAATCAAAGACTCCAAGATGAAATTACTGAACACAAAGCGACTATTGCTAAGAAGGAAAGTGTCATCACTGAGTTGAACAAATACATTGAAGATAAGGAAGGCGAAATTTCTGACTTGAAAAAGAAGCTTGAAGCCGAAGAAGACAATTCAAAGGATATTGAGACACAATCACACGAGAAGGAAGACGACATTGCCGATTTGGAGAAACAAGTAAAGATGTTGCAAAACACCATTTCTGGTGTAAATGCACAGAATAAAAACACTGGTGCTGTTTGAATGATCTTACCAATACCAAAAATGATTTGAAAAAGACTCAATTGGCTCTTGACAATACTGAGAAGAAACTCGACCAACAAGTTGCTCAAAACAAGAAGTTCTCAGACGAGAGAGATGGGTATAACCAACAGTTACAAGCAGAGAAGAAAAAGACTGCTGCTTTGACCTCAGCCAAGAATGCAA